ACGCTAGCCCCTGGGGAAGCGTCAGACTGCTCACCTCCAGGTGAGAGAGCGACGAGAGAGCCACAGGTGTGGATCCTGGACCCTAGCTGGTCCCTGAGCAGCTCTCAGAGACCTCCACCGTGCGAGGCACCGGGGTGTCATCGCGCCAGGGCAGCGTGGGCGGCAGAAACACCAGGATCGACCCTCCCGTTGTCAGCTCAGAGGCTTTCCTTGCAAACCTCCGTGCGGCAGGCTTCGACATCTCAACCCCGCTTCATGTGTCGGTGGACAACGCCTTGGCAGCAATGGGGACCAGAGCGATCACGAACCATGCAGCAACGACCATGATCCCTTTGTCGCAGGAGGAAGAGAAGGGATTTCACAACGCAAGCCATGATCTGATTGTTGACTTTCTCACTCCCGCTTTGGATGCTCCCTCCAGCACCACGGTTGTGAACAACCTCCAGTACAAGCTTGCCGTTATGACCACGACAGAGGGGGTCAACTCAACGGCACGCAAGGCCATTTTTTCCTGCTCTGCGGTCATCCTGAACCTTGGTGACGTCCCACGAGTGCGCATGACAAGGGACTCGAACCGGACCCGTCTCTCCCTCGGAGCACAGGCCTCAGTGGTCGCTATCCTGGCTGCAACCTCCACAGACCCTGGGCAGGTGGCGGCGGCTGTGTCGGGACACCACGGGTATCAGATCTCGGCGCTGGCCTTCCCGCCTCCTCCGAGTGTTGGCAAACTTGAGGCACTCTTCAGTGAGGGCTCTGACACCCCCATCGCCGAGGCCCATGCAGCCCTGGTCGACGCTGACCTCGGCACGGTGTGGCGCGGATCCAAGATGGTCAGCCTGACCATGCTTGCACAGATCAACGGGCCCGGGAAGACTGCGGCGGCACTCCACAGCCTGGCGGCATTCAAGGGAGCAAGTCCGTTCAAGGGCAAGCAGGCAGCCACAGGAGCAGGCACTGACGCCTCCGGTGCTCAGGGAGAGGGCGTGCCTGTCGCCCCCTCCATCCCCCAGGGAGTGGGGGAGCCCTCGGAGGCGCTCGCCGTGGTATCCACGGGATCCGTGACCAGCCTGTCCCCCACTGATGATGCGGAGGATGTCCCTGGCATCTCGGACCTGGACCCCAGTGCGGACGCGGACAGGATCGATGAGCTCTTCATGGAGGCCAGAGAGGCCATGGAGCAGCAGTACCCGAGTGGGACCCTCGCAGGTGAGGAGGAGACCTCTTTCGTACAGGCCATGCTCTACTGCTCGTACATCCTGCTGGCTCACGATGTCCCGCCAACTGCCATCGGCGCTGAGAAGTTCTTCACGATGGTGAAGTCCGTGACCCTCCCGTTGACCCTCGGGGCGGAGCTCGCAGTTGTCGCCGACATGCTTGTGAATGTCCTCGGGAAGAATGTGGGCAACCTGTCTGGGACCCGCCTTGTGAAGGCGCAGGATTACATGAACAAGAGGAGCTTCAACAATGCAACCATCTGTGGGACCGCAATGGCTCCGGTGGACTCAGTCTTCGCTCTGCCCGCCTCTCCCCGGCAGGCGAACCAGGTGACTTCTATGATGGACAAAGGCGCGATGTTGCAGACCATCGGCCTCCGGTACCTGCGAGAGAAGCTGGCGTCAACGAACCAGTTTGAGTCCAGCTTCGCCTCCAAGACGGCGTTGCTCCTTCGCTATGCACATCGGACCCACTTGCAGCAGCTGTTTGACTTTGGCACACTCTTGTTCCCTGCCATCTTTGAGACGCCAGAAGGAGCCGTGATCGCCCGCCGCATGCGGCTGGCCATGCGAGACCACTCCACGGTTCTTGACCCTGGGCTCTTCCCTTTCAGCGGGTTCGCCAAGGCCCCCGGGTATGAGTGCGCGCAGACCAAGCACCTGGGCGCCCCCGGCGCAGCCGTCTTTAAGTACGTGAACAAGAAGGGCACGCGGTGGGAGGACTTCGCTGATGTGGAGTACATTGCAGAGGAGTCCCAGGTCCATGACCTCCTTGTGCTGATGGACGGGCTCCGACCGACAGTCTCCCGATTCGGCGCCAGTGGAGCCAGGCCCGCAGGAGTGATCGCAGCATTCAACCAAGAGGCGGCGGATGAGGGCCAGAACACCACGGCAGCCCCGGGTGGTGTCCCGACCCTCGCAGAGCTGGCCGGGGTGAGGGCCACCCCAGGGAGCTGACCGCCGGTGTGAGGATGCATCTACAGCTTCAATTGAGGCCCCTAGGAGGACCCTCAGACTTCTGCCCACAGCCTTGCGCAGAGAAGCACTCGACCACCTTTTGCCTTTCCCGACACCTTATCTGTACTCATGTTGAACGCGTTCTCGAAAACAAAAAGCACACCACCAAACATCATACAGCAACCATCAAACATCAAACATCACCAACCATCATGCATCAAACATCAAACACCATACATAACCAATCATCAAACATCATCAAACATCAAACATCATACAGCATCATACATCAAACCTCATTCATCATCAAACATCAAACATCATACATCATCAAACACCAAACATCATACACCATTCAACATCGAACATGAAACATCAACCATCATGAATCACCAGACACCAA